TCTGACGGGTCCCCATTTCTTCCCCCAGGAATGTAACCCACAGCTAACAGGATGAGGATTGGACAGAAAGCAAAGGGGAGCTCAGAAACAACAGAAAAGGCCACGGTCTTAAGAACCTGGAGTTGCCCAACATTTAAGCTGTAACATGGAAACAGCCTGACATTTATACCAGCATTACAGAGATGACAGAAGCTGGAGAGTGGTCTGTGTCACCGGCAAGATGTTTCTAACTGCTTAATCTTTGCATCTGCTTAACATTTATTTTTTTATTAATCAGCAGAATTGGCACAAGACATCTGGATACTTGAGATGGAAAGTCCCCAAAACAATATGTATGTGGACCCATATTAATTAACGTGGGGTCCAATCCACTGGGCTGTGCTCCTACACAGCCCACATTGGCTCAGTGGGAGTTGAGCCAAAATCAGGGCAACTCCCATCCCCTCCAAATGAGGCCTGCTTATTAGGAGGATTCTGACTCTTCCTGCTTGGCCAGGATCTCTCCCAACCTCCACCCTGAATGGTAGTCAAGGTCAAAAATCGCTACCTGAGATGGTCACACATCTTGCCTTGTGTCTGGACCAGCTCTGTGCTCCAAAGCATTGGTTGCAAGGGCTGGCCTACACTGCCAGCATCCTCTTCTCGGGAGGGACTGGCCAAGAAGTCCTGCATCTTCTTTGAAGGGTACTGTATAAACATGGGTAAATAAAGTATACACAATTGCTAGCAATTTGTCAATGAAATAAATTTATCACATGACACTGTCATGACAATCATATCACTCCCACCCAGGAAGTCAGATATTTATTATCCTAGGTGGAAATGTCACTGGTTGGATGTTGGTTTTATTTGTTTTTCCTTTTTAAGTTTACGGAAACAAAATACTGCAATGTTCATGTACAAAGTTGTCACATTGAAAGTCAGTATTAAACGGTGGAAAACAAACTGTAAATTTAAAAACCTTTTTCCCTGATACAGATTATTCTAATTAATACATTTTTGTTACTCATGGATAAAATTAACAATTAAATATAAATTCAAGAGGCATTGTTTTATAAAACACATTCAAACATCTTTTTCAAAATACTTAATTTAACAAAAAAAAAAGTCATGATATTTTATTTTAAAAACAAAAGTTTTTCAAATTAGTTTGTTCTGAATATTTGTTTTTACATCTTCAACATGACATAGCAGTGTTCCTTAATATTTCTTTTAATTTAAATGAAATAAATTTTCTCTTCCCTTACATATTCTCTATACACAACATTCTCTCTCACTCAGGTGGCTGAAAGCCAGATAGCTATACACAAAGACACAATTAAAAGTGTCCTGCTTTTACTTTTTTCAGCTAAAATACATAGATGCATCTTACCACCCCCCAACCCCACCCCTCACTCCAAGGAATATCCACGGGTGTCAGGCTCTCTCTAAGTAAACGGATTGAGGGATTCCTGTTCTTGACATTTACGTTCTGCTCAGGACGCAGAACTTAAAGCCCACCCATAAGCAGCTCAGATCCATGCAACTTTTATCAACCAACAAACAAAAAGATGCAGAAAAAAAGTTTTCTCCCTTGGCTAAGACTCCTGCTGCTACTGCTGCCTCATCCTTCCACGGAACCACTTCCAGCCACGTACGCTGCAATTCAGCTACCAATTCTCCCCCAAAGAGCTTAAATTTAAACAATCAAACCAAGTCTCTGAGGACCGACGTTCACTTTCTTGTTGTTCTTACAGCTGCAGAAATGCTGAACCTCCTTGGAATTTAGATCTCGGTGCCTTCAATATTGCCCCGGAGCCCTTCCAAATCTTATGCGGGAAGCTACAGCGGATGGACATGGCCATTTCCTGGCTACTCTTGTCGCGTACACAAAATGCCTTCTTACGTTAAAATCAGCTATTTGGGAGGGCCTGGCTTCCCTCACAAATTTCATGATCGAATTGTTTAGCAAATCAGATTAAATCACTATAAATGCTGCATGTCCCAAGCATTTCCTGCAGCTTGCAGTCCTGCTGATGCAGCTACCACAAGATTAAGATACCAGCGATACATTCTGGATGAGGAAGTCTCAGAAGAGCAAGACCTTGTGTTTTTAATAGCAGGAATAAATCCGATGGAGTTGCTCCTTCCTTGCTTCTGTGTAATGTACAAATAGGCAGATCACAATTTCATCTGAAGTGGAATCACCGAAACTAAGTTTTGCACTGTGCCACAGTTGTTAGTTGGATACTGCAGTGCTTAAAATACATGTCTCACCAGCGGTAGCTGTTTTATTTACTATGCATTTTTACTCTTGGGAAAGCTTGTGGAAACAAATGTGCAAGGGTGAGGGATAGCACTGTTTCATAGTCAGGGTCATTTGGGGGTTGCTTTAGCAAAGCATCAAAGCAGAAGACAAAAAAAGACGCTAGGACCCAAATCAGAATATATTACTTTCTTCCAACATTCTGGCCATACGACGTTTTCCTTCTGTAATGGCTGCACAATAAACGGGCTTTGGCATTTTACAGGATTACAAGCGCCACCGACACAGGGCAGCTGCTCTGTCCACCTTTCTTTCTTTGGTTCACCTAAATATAAGGGAGCAACTAAACATGCAGCTTGGTCTGTCTAAACTAATTCAAAACTTGGAGCTACGCTCCGTTGCATTGACTCCTACGTAAACATGCCTACGAAGGCGGCTTTATGGTGCGAACCTATGAAGCTTTTCTCAGGAAAGAGGTCCAGATGAACTCAAGGGGACTTCCTGCAGAGAAGGTCACAGGACTTAGTGTCATATACTACTCCAAGCCAAGGGAGATCTTGTTTTCAAAGAGCTGAGCACAAATTCTGATTTAAAAAATAATAATAATTAAGAGAAATGTTCTACTTTCTGGCGGGCTTGATTCTAAAGATGCAAAGTACTGAAAGCTCTCAAAGAAAATATCAGATAAAATAAAGGCTCCTGGTGGGAACGACAGAGACGACAGGAAACGGCTACCATCCACTGACCTGTTTCTGTTCTGCACCCTTCAAGCTCCTTACGTCCTTTGGAGGCTGCTTGGGCCTTCCTCTCTACTAGCCATCCTTGGGCAACCAACCAACCATCTGCAGAATTGGCTATCGACACAATGACGTTCGTGAGCAGCAGGTCAGAGCGTACTGGCCATCAAATCCTGCAATGCCTCTCTGACAAATCTTCCTGCAACTTTTTTTTTCTTTTCTTTTTCTTAAAAAAGGAATAATTTGGGGGCTACCTTTGGGGGGGGAAAGAGCAAGAAAAGCTAACTCACCTGTATCTACAAACTAAGCCGTTATAGTCAGAACATTAAATAGGAATAAATTCTTACAATGGTTTCAACAACTGCACAATATCAGAGCCAAGATCAATTCAGGGGAAAAAACACAACATGAAGAGGCTGAAGGGGGCCCACAGAGGCACCCCAATACCCGTGAAAACTATTTGACAGACAGCAACGCCATGCATAGCGTCTCTCCTCTCCTTGCAAGGGACCCTGGCTTCCGTTTGGAAAAAGAACAGGGGAAAGGCAACATTAACTGCTGCTTGCTTTGTGGGCTGGCAAAAACGTCTGAAAATGGAGAGGCCTGGAGACCAAGTGACTGTTTTATTTCAACTCATGCACTTAATAAATATTATTATTGTATAAAACCGACTTGTACCATAGGCAATGAATCTCTTAATAAAACGGTGAGGCATTTCAGTAGCAAGGCCAAAAAAGGGTTCCAGAGCACCCAAGAGTTGGGAACGTGGCCCCCACCTGCCCTCTGCAGCAGCCATCCCATCCCAGGGAACAAAGGCGCTTGCGTTACAACCACGGGGCTGCCCCTCTGCACCCCAAAACGATTTTAGGGAATCAAAGTTGATGTGCTGTGCAGCCTTACTGCCTGGGCACTCTGTCAGTGTAGAAAAAAAAACCAGCCTGATGGCAGCCACCCTTCGAATGCCCGGCCCCCTCTGCTCCCCAGGCGTACCAGGAGCAGGAACCCTCTTCACGAGGGTTACTGCATAGCCTCCATTATCCACTGAAGCCAGGACCGGAAAACACTGAAAGCGCTGCTTGGTTTAAAAATGGGAGCGGGTGGCAAAGCAAAATAATTCCAACTTCCAAAGTTTTGAACAGGCAGCCACGCTCTGAGACCAGCCAACGAGATTTCAGTTATTCCGATTTTGAATTTTTGTGCTGCAATAGAAGGGGAAGATCGAAAAAGGGGTGACGTTTCCTTCCCCCGTTGTCAAAATATAACGTGAAGGGGCTGAGTGGGGCCCCCATGTTTCAGGAGCATCGCCTGCAACCTTCTAGCTCAGTGTTTCTCAACCGTGACAATTTTAAGGCATGTGGACTTCAACTCCCAGAATTCCACAGCCAGCGTTGCTGGCTGTGGAATTCTGGGAGTTGAAGTCCACATGCCTTAAAATTGTCAAGGTTGAGAAACACTGTTCTAGCTGGTCAGGGAGCAAATTCTGCCCGGCTGCCCCCCCCCGCTCTGGAAATACCCCCCCCACCAGCCCTGATTTAAAGGAATAGGCCCCGCTGCAACAGTTTATATAAATAATACCAATGACTTATTCAGGGCTTGGGTTAAGGTGATGCAGGCTTAACAATAAATGGAATGTAGAACCTGTAAACAGGATAAATTCAGCCGTCTGAGTGCTGCTACATAGGTGCTATTTAACCATCTTATCGGGGGGGTTGTTTCTAAAGGAAAGCCGTTTTGCCAAATAGAAAAGCATCTCATCCCCAAAGGTGTTTTTTTTTTCTGAATGCCCACACAAATACCATGTAACTGTAGAGAGACATTATAGATTGCTATCACCGTCCACAATAGGGAAAGCTATTTTTTATCACCTGCCTCAGCTCTAGGTCCAGAATTTAAAATGCAAATATACAAAATAAAAATAAAAATAAAAATACAATACGATACGATACAACACAGTAAAATAGCAAGGGACTGCACAGGGGGGCTGTTACTACGGCCGGGAGACCGAGGTCCGGCCAGGGCTATACAGCGGCCTCCGAGTCATCCTCTGAAGTCCCGCAGTTACTGCTTTTCCTGAAGCCTTTCCAGCTGTAGCCCAGGAAGGTGGGGCTGATGGGCAGGAAGCTGAAGCACTTGTACTTCCTGACAATTTCCATGCCGAAAGGTAAGTCGTAGCTTTCCAGGCCTTCGAGGGATTTGCCGCCCTTGCCTGCTCCCTTCTTCCACTTCCGGATTCCTCTTTCCTCCGGGCTTCCTTGATTTTAAAAAGGAAGGCAGAAGAACAACAGTGTCAAGATGTGAACAACCTTCTTTAGAAAGAGAAGAAGTTTGAAGTCATAGAAGGAGATCCTCAAAATTAAGCTAAGGAGCACCAGAACGTTCCCTTGTTCAAGCACTTCAAAAAAAAAAAGAAAAGGAAAGGAAAGGAAGAAATTACCCTAGCTGCACGACACTCCTTCATTTCTCTCAATGAAATATCAGAATATCCTGGGGGTCTGAGACCCATTGCTAATGACTGCTGGTGATAGAGATGTTCTCCTGGAGCATTTGGTGTCCTCAGGATGAAGGGAAAGCAGGGCAGAAAGAAGAGAGCAAATTGGAGGACTAACCTGGAATGGTGTTATCTAAAATAAAGGCTACACAGCCACCAACAAACATAGCGGTAGTCAGCAAGACATTTAGGACTTGATCAATGCTGTCGATTCCTGAAAGAGTAGAAGATGGGAAACGGGTTCTGTCAGAACCTGAATAGATGCAACACACGCACAGAAAGGCAAGCTGGGATGTCTTTAAGACAGTACCAAGACACAGAACGACCAGCTTCATAGAAACACATGTGCGTCCAGCCCCCGCGTGCCCAAAAGTTGCAGAGTGTGGCTGAGTTCCTACTGAACTTCCCTCTATTGAAATGTCCAGGGCTGGGGTCACCAGCTTGCCCAGTAGCAGCCACCGTTCCCACCAGTCAATTGTGAAGCACCTGCATACCTAATTTCTCACCTGCAAGGAAAAACAGTAGTATCCCCATGCACTTACGCTGGGGATGGGGGAGGTCTCAGTGGAAAAGAAGATAAAGTGGAACCTCACTCTTTGGGGAAGGTTAGAAGAGGGGAGAGTTCTCTCCTACTGCTCAGTACAAGGGAGGTGGAAGCTTGGTTGCCCCCAGTGGCCCTTGGCGAAGGATGGGACTTCAGCCCATCTTTGATGCTCAAAGTCCACTCAGCAGCCAACCAGTAGAATCAGTCAACATGACCTAGAAGTGGGGGAGCATTTCCCTTCTGCTAAAAATATTCTGGAGGATTGGCAGAAGCCCCCCTAAACCCAGCATCCTACTGTTTCTCGGCAAGTCAGAGGCTGGCTCCTGTTAACATTAAACGCGTGGAAGGGCCCATGGAGTTCTTGGAAGCTTCTTGAATGAACATGGGCAACCAGATTGGTCAGGTAATTAATTTGATTACCTGTGACTTTTAAGCAGATGGCTAATTAACTTTCTAATTAATTAGAAAGATGCCTCTGTGAGGAATTTGGAAAAAAAAAGGCAATTTCATATAGCCCAAACCAGTAGGCTGTATCAGATGTCTCAAGCATTTGGAGGATGACAACTTGAGAAGGGCTGGAATAAATCAGTTTTTCCTGCAGGTCAAACAGGAATGAAAAACAGAAAATGTTTCAATTTGGAAGACAGCCCAAGTTTAAAACCTATTTTTTTGATTAAATGTGGTGCACAGGGAGGAAATTAGGGCTGATAAACTGGACTGAAGCTAAGCCAACTGGGGAGCCTTCCAGATCTTTGGCGCTCCAAAATCCTTAGCTACAGAGGACACTCGGTTTGGGAAGCTGACCAAGCAGACAGAGCCAGGCTTAATCTGGATTTAAAAAGTTAATTAGCTAATCACCCCAGTTCCCTGGTGAACAGCTGCAGTCAACCATAAGATGCACGGACTTCAGTTCTCAGAATTCCACAGCCAGCATCTTCGAGCCATCAAGATTGAGAAACACCAACACTCTAGGGCAGTGTTTCTCAACCTTGACAATTTTAAGGCATGTGGACTTCAACTCCCAGAATTCCACAGCCAGCAATGCTGGCTGTGGAATTCTGGGAGTTGAAGTCCACATGCCTTAAAATTGTCAAGGTTGAGAAACACTGCTCTAGGGTGATGGAGTGCAAGCTGAAATATTGGAAAGATCTTTCTCCACGTGCCTTGTGTGAATACACGCTTCAGAACATTACTACGGGGACATCACGTGCACAACTTTACAATCTTTTTCGCCATGGGCATTAAGAAAATCACAAGGTTGTTAAGCGAATCCAACTTTCCCCATTGACTTTGCTTCTCAGAATCCAGCTGGAAAGGTTGGAAGTGGTGAACACATGACCTGGGACACCGCAAACACTGTAAATGCATGCTGGTGGCCAAATACCCGAGTAACAATCACACCATCGTGGGGACACTGTGATGGTCTTAAGTGGGAGGACTGGTTCATAACTCACTGTTTCAGTGTCTTTTAACTTTGAACGATTGTTAAATGACTGGTTGTAAGTCGATTTCTTATTTTATTTGAAAGCTATTTGAGCATACATGCGTAGCTAAGGAAATATATATATAAAATATACCTGTACCTGTAAAAAGCGGGTTTTGCCGAAGATAACTTGGGAGCACCAGCCCAAAGAAGATAGAAAATCCAAGAACGAAAAGGTTACGTGAAGAATTCAGATCAACAAATTGCAGGTTTGAAAGTCCAACTGCAGTGATCATCCCTAAATAAGAAAGGGACAGGATTTTCAAACTATTCATATTCACATGACAGTCTGCAAGTTATTGTCTGGCTCCCTGGAAAATGGAAATCGTAACACGACCCACTTTATATGTCGGCAAAATGACATATGGGCTAAAGCCAGAAATTCTGGTGTAGCATTACACTAAAAAAATCAAAAATACTTGGATTATGTTAATCATTATGTACTAGAACATAAAAGTACTCTGGGGATTGTTTTATAGGATTCAGAACTCTGCTTAAAGAAAATGCAGCTTCAGCCCACAATTCACATGTGCTCTTACAGGCACTGAACTCTCTGCTAGCCTGGGTTGATTCTAAACCATAGTTTCTCAACCTTGTCAACTTTACAACGTATAGACTTCAACTGTCTTCTGGTTGGGGAATTATGAGCTGAAGTCTGCACATCTAACAATTGCCAAGACCCCCTACTAAGAGAAGTTAACGAGAAAAGGAATTTAAGATGGTCCAGAATTCCTTTAAAAAGGAGATATTAAAAGCACAATTCACACAAACACACGGAGTGATAATCACTTACCAAAGAGAGTACAAAACAGAGCTCCAAGCACTGGATCTGGAAGAGATGCAAACAGCGCACTGAATTTGCCAACCGTTCCAAGTAGCAGCATGAAAGCAGCCCCATACTGAATAACCCGTCGACTTCCAACCTATAAAACATTCATGTGGAAAGAATAAAAAACAGTATTCCAACAGCAATTGGCATTGAATTTGCACTGTTACAGAGCTTGAAAATCTTTCACAGGAAATGATTATAAATAAAACAAAAACAAAATAAGGTGCCCTGTGGTAGCCATGGGGAGATGCTTGAGACGCTTCCTGGCCCTATGTAAACATTACATCATTCTGTAATGATGTGCCATATAATATTGTATGTAAAACATAGCAGGTTATTGGTTACTACTGAAACTTAAAATCATTTTTAACTGCTATTCTTTTTTAAATATGGAACTTATAGATTTGCTACTTAATTTTACTACAGACGCTCGAATAAAACTTGTATTACAAAGCTACTGGAACACCTAAATCCTCAGGGAAAACATTTTGTTAAAGATGCTGAGCACTCCAATTAGTTTATACAAAAGTAAAGTTCGTTTTAAACTTTTGGGGTCCTTGTTTCAGAACAGGAAGTATCAAAAATATATTTTCCACTATATAGCCCTGCTTGTGTGAAATATTTTGTTTTGTTTTAAAATACAAGAGAAAATTATACACCTTATGCAGTTGCAAAATAGAACTGTGCAGCAAATATTGGCATACTTTTGATCAAATCTTAGCATTATTTACTCTTATGAATATATTAATGTGGCAAACCAGATGTTACTAACAAATCTTTCTTTAGGGCTACAATCTGCTTCATGCAAGAACTACAAAATATACAAGCTTTATCAAGTCTTCAGTTTGCCCAGAAGGCAACTCAAGAAGAGACGTGTATCACAGTACTGATGCAACAATGGCTTAATCAACTCCATTCCCTTCCGAGTTTGATTGATAGGACACCAATTAAAAAGTAGTCCAATTATTTTCTGAGTTCTCTTTTAGTGGCTGGGTTAGGCCAAGGAAGAACGACAAGAATAGAATGCAGTTTTCTTACACAAATACAGTGCTTAAGCCACAATGTGATCTGCTTATTTGGGGCTATCAACAATTAATATTTTTGACCTAGCTATATGATGCTATATGTCTACCTGTCGACACAGTAACACAATATCAAATACAAATGCTTCTCTGAATGCTTCTCATTTAATATAAAATTAGGCCATGGAAACAGAAATCAGTCCAAACCATGCTTTTTCTCTCTCAAAGAAATGCACCCAGTAGGTGGCAACCTTTGAACCTGGACTTCAAAAGCAAAACCTCACCAAGGGAGGGGGAACGAGTAGTTACAGCCGCTAACCTATGTCCTAGTAGACCTAATCATGAGTAAAATGGACTTAGAACTGTATGAGCTACAATTTAAAGCACAAACTCCTGTCTTACCTTCTTCTCAATGGCTTTTTTTAAAGTAAAAAAAGTAAGCCTTCCTATTATGGAAGGTTGCAGGACTGCAGAGTAAAATACAGCCAGGTAAATGACTTTGACTTCTCCACGTGTGGGATCTGTTGTACTCTGAATTAGACAGGCCCTATATGGAATCAAGGCAGGGCCAGGGTTCAAGACACAAGTCTGCCACATGAGATCTGGTTTGGCTCAATGGCCTTTTGGAGTGTCATTGGCTCTTTTTTCTGTTTGCTGAACAAGGGCTCTGAAAATTCATTACATAATTACATTTAACAAGGTATTAATTAACTACTTTCCTTCATAATAACCATTCCATTTCATGTCACTTGGGCTCAAGCAGTTTATCAATCTTCCTTTATTCCAATGTATGCTCAGAATTGATGAAGCCACTTGTTGTTGTTGTTTTTACCAAATTTTCTGTAGGTTAATATTCCAAAGGAATCTAATCAACAATGAAGGATCTTAAAGTATGCAAGCCCAGCCCTGCATTCCAAGTATATGCTGAAAACAAAAATCACACTCATTCAACTGTGCACCTGAGCAAATGCTTCTCAATCTGAAGGACCCTTAGGCTAAAAACACACACTGTGCACAGAGTGTTGCATGACTTCAGGCAAGTGTAATTTATTCAGGGAACCATGATTAAGCAACTTTGGGGGCTTATGCGAACAGTTTATATTGTCAAGAATACTGATAAGCCAAAGAAATTTGCTTGCTTAATTCATGTAAAATACCTTTGTAATTCCCAAAACTCCAATGTTAGGACTAGAAGAAGTGGATCCATTTCCAGTGCCAAACACTCCATCTAACACACAGGAAAGGCCTTCTACGAAAATGCCCCTGCGCCAGAAAGAAAAATATTGAGATAAAGAAATAACATAGAACATAGCATAATAAGGTTGGAAGGGATCTTGGACATATCTCACTTTAAAACAAATTAAACCCAAGGGAAAAGAATTACAATATTCTGTAAAGAATTGGATGCAGTTATTAAAGTAATGAGATCAACTGCTCAAACAGTAATGTATGTGTGCATTCATAATACAAGTTAACAGCACTGAGCATAATTTTTTAATTGAAACCAGTATCTTGCTGACTTTGGCATTCTAAATGTTTGTGTTTTGTAAAGAGAGCTCTTAGAGACAGGCAACATAAACTCTTGCCCCTGGATCCAAGAGTTTATGTTGGAGATGGTGGAGAACAAGGCAGGTCACCCGCGGTGACGGTTCAGAGCTGCAGTTACAGGAATTGTGGAAAACATCAAGGGTCATACCTGGTAGATTTGTAAAAAACCAGAAAATTTAGGGTTCAACTACATATCATAAGATAAAGAATTTTAGACCAATATATAACTGAAACCAGAGGTTTTCTTGCTGGGACGAATGGACAAACAATTAGAAAAGACTTAAGGAGGGTTGCTTTTGTATATGGTAACTGCTGCAAAATTACTGTCTGAAATAATTCTAAAACAAAGATTTAAAAAAGATTTGCAATGATTTCTGAATGTCCATGTCACTGGCTGATGCTGCCAATTTCAATGGTCCATGGACTTACTGTATGTCAATTTATTTTTAATCAGAAAATGAGTTTGATCTTGGCACTGGAATAATATTGGAACTTTCAAAGAAAATCAACATTTAATTCTGCTTTGACTCCAGCACAGTGTGAAAAAAAATAGAATATGTTGATTCCAGACAGCCACACACCCCCCCCCCCGAAGGCTCACCTGTTTATTGCATGGATGGGTGGTGGAGGAGCACAAGATAGCCTTGCACAGGCATAATAATCACCAATGGATTCAATAATACTAGCAACCACAGCACTGAGCATCCCAATCACACCAGCAGCTGAAATAGTCGGCAATCCCCACTGAACTGCAAATACAAAGACACTCAATTTTATATTGATGTAGGGCCAATCCAATTATGATCTTCTGGGCTAACTGATTGTGGTCTAATTATCTGGCATCCTGACATTTTTCCAGCATCTGTGGCTGTCATCTTCAGAGGCAAGGCAATCTGCTCTGCAGCTCACAGGCAATTGAGCAGGAACTGATAGCGCTCTTATGCTTGTAACCGAAGTAATCTCTCATTAGACCTTGCCAATGAAATTCTGAAAAGATGGGCTATAATTGGTTCTTTATCCTGGAGAATTTGTAATTGGTCTGGTCTGAATAAATTCCAAAGGAGTTGGTATTTGATTAGTCTGTCTTTGTAACACCCTATTTTAGATTCCACATGGAGTTTATTAATTTATTTTGGTGTGATGTAAAGCTAAACACCTGGTTTTGTTTATCTGCAGATTCTCTTCTTGTCAAATTCTTGGGACTTTTATAAATCTCAATAGCTTCTCTATGTACTTGTGCATGATGATCTGACATGATTGCTAGAACTTGTAGGTCTTTCCATTTAAAATTGTGCCTCTGATATTATAGCTGCTTGTGTTCAGCTATTGCTGATATTTCATGACGTCCTAGTCAAAAGGATCTTTTATGTTCTTTTAGCTGGGCATCAATACTCTAGTTTATAGTTCCAATATATACCTGTCCACAACTACAAAGTATGCCATAAACTGATGATGAAAATGGATTTCTGCAAATAGGTGATCAAATCATTTCTTGGATTTATTTTTTTTTGTTAGTTTAGGAAAAGAGTCTGAAGGTTTACAAAGCTTGTTTTCCATCTTTACATCACAGCCCTTAATTCACCAATCCCATGAAGAAACCACAGTAAGCTGATTCAAAGACAGAACAATCAAATGCAGTTCCTTTCAAACTTCTTCCAATCAGACCAATTATAAATTAACCTGGATAAATCAGAAAGCCTATCAGAAGTTGGCTTTTCAGAATTCCGTTGGCACGATCCAATGAGAAATTCTGTTACCAACACAAGAGTACTATCCATTCCTGTTCAGTAGCCTGTCAGCTGCACAGCCACAGCAAATAATATACTTGTGAAGATGCCAGCCACAGATGCTGGTGAGCCATCAGGATTGCAGACAATTAGAACATGATCTATTAGACTGGAAGTTCATCATCATTACATACAGATTTCCTCATTCTTTTAAAAGCAAAGCACTTTCAAAATGTAAAATACTTCCCTACATGACAAGACAGGTAATTTCTGTAATCTAGGGACAAGGTAGTTACAATTATTCAGAATACTGGGAATCAAAAACGTACTTTGCTACAGAAGTGATTATTCCTAGATAGTTAATCTCCACAATAAACTGGTGCCTTCTGATTAGAAAGACTTCCTATGAACAAATATGGGCATATATGGGCACTAATAGATATACAGTAGTACAAATAAAGGCTAAGGTGCTTGACTTGCACTATGGAGAGCTTGATTCAAATCTTCAGTCAAAGAAAAGTTTAGATGTAAACGAAACAAATATATATTCAAAAATATTTGAATATGCTCTTTCCTCATGAATGGAACTGGCTAAGTCAGAGCTTATCGGCGTTTGTATAGTCTCAGAGTTTACAATGATACAAATACTTGTAAAACAAAAATGAACTATCAGACCAGGGCCGGTTCATCTAAATTGGCATCTTCAGATTCACAGGCAAAAAGACTATAGTGACTCTACCCAGAAAGCAAAATATTCAGGGAGATTCCTCCTCCTGAATGTTTGCTAGGTTCACTTACAGGGATATGGAATCTTGAACCATGGAGCTACTAGGAGAACCTCTTGCCTGGCATCAGTGCGGGCGTAGAATCCATACTTAGTGTTATCAGGCGGAAAGACGTCTGTCACAGTAAAGATGAAACACAGCAGCCAAGAAACCAGAATAGCTAGAATGATCTGCAAGGGGGACAGGAAGGCACTTAAAATAAGACAGCGAGCAACGAGAGCCCGTTTGGGCTAATGGTGAAGACACCAGGCTAGAAAGCAGGAGACGTGAGTTCCAGTCCCGCATTGTTCATGAAAGCCAGCTGGGTGACCTTGGGCCAGTCCTCTTCTCTCAGCCCAATATAGCTCACAGGGTTCTTGTTGTGGGGAAAGTTGAATATGTTCGCTGCCTTGAGTTATTTGTAAAAGTAATAAAGGCGGGATACAAATAAATAAAATAAAATAAAAATGAAGACATGCTTTGATGACAGAGGTTTTTGTACTTAACACAGCACGATTGTTTTCAGATTAAAAGAAAAACTTGCAGCATTTTGTTAAGTATTGCACTTTAAATGGGTCTTCCATGCAATTTCCCAAACTGGGAAAATTTCCAAGTAAGTACTTAAGGGATTGCTAGTCATATTACACATGGTGCACCCTGATCAGAAAAAAAAAGTCAGTTGATCACGGACTGCAAATGAGAAGCATTTAAAAAAAAAAAAAGATGCTAGAGATTAATCAACAGATGTGCTGAATCCTTACCAAAGATTTCAAAGAAAGAGGTAATAGTGGGACCACACATCGAAAACCCACTGAATTTAATATTATCTATTACTCTTGCCAAGGAAAAACTCCTGGTGTTTCCAGATTACAGATATCCCATTACAGATATCCCGGCAGTTTGACACCTCTGGCTTAGATTCTTTCTCAAAGCTTACCTTAGCAACGACTTTGTTATATAATTATAATGAAATGACAAATTACAACCTCTTCTACATTTGAAAACAATAAACACACACACACACACACACACACACACACGAAGCTTCTATGCTGATAATAATCAATATACAGATTACTTACAGGAAACATTTTAAAAAGCTGCAAGCGATATGCGGTCCATCCTTTTTTGGACTTGTAAATGGGTAATGGGAATTTGACATTTCGGGCATACTGAGAAAACAACAGCACTAGGAAAATAGTCCTGAAAAGATGAAGAAGAATTACGATTAGTCCATCAGCATCTCCACAGATATAACAGATAAAAATCAATGAAACAAATATGAAATAAATTCCTCTCCACCTCGACAGGACTGCAAAGGACATATTTTTTTCCACTGTGTTTTCTTTGCAGAGTAATTTATTCAAGGTTTGAGGCAAAGGATAGCAGGGCTGGGTCCCTATTTCATCTGCTATGTTTGTAATGTGTTTTAATCTGTTTCAAGTTTTTGTTACTTGTTTTGACTCTTGAAAAGGTTCAGTAAATCAAGTAAACTAAATATATTGACGGCTCAGTATGACCTCTGTAGTCAATACAGAGAAAGTATTTTATCTACTATTCACCATCATTTACTGTGATGCATTTTAATTATAATGTTTAACCAATCACTAATTTTGATTCATCCAAATGCTTCTGCACCATTAACAGCCTTTCCCAAATCTAGGTTGATTCTGTGATTTCTTTCTTGAAAGGACTTCATAATGTGCATTTAGCTAAAGGAATCATTCAAGTAAAAATAGTTCTATCAGAGACACACAGAGTTCCATAACAGTAACCCTGATGGCAGATAAGGCTGCCTCAAACCTATTTGCCTCAAACAAATAAGGCTTGCCTCCAGAAATGGTTGATACTCCATCACTGGAGATTTCCAGAAGAGAAAGGACAACCATTTGTCTGATATGGCATGGGGTCTCCTTCTTGAGCAGGGGATTCGATTAAAAGAACTCCAAGGTCCCTTTCAACTCTATTGTTCTATGTTCTACAGCTAAGCGTTTTCCTCTGCTGCAAAAGGGATTGTAGCCACACAAACAATCACCAGGTTAGGTTCTGCTATTACATATTCTTACGCATGACTGGTAGCACAATTACCAGGAGGAGCTACACAAAGCGTGTATTGTTGAACCAGCGCCAACCCTACTGCGCACCAAGTGACATTTGGAATGCACGGTGCCTTTGAATCCCATAAAGAGGAGAGCACAAATATTATTAAATGTAATTGTAACAGTTATCCTAAGATAACTTTAGCAACCAAGATCCGGGTTCTCCTCTCTGGATTTTAAATACTGCATTTTGCTGGGACCTCTGCGGGCCAGTTACCTGGATGCCTTTGTTTTCTTTTACCGTCTTTTAATTTGCATCATTACCTCTTCTGTTATTTTTTTTCCCCAAAAGCAATTTAAAAATAAGAGTATTGGCATCATATCAAGGATGACCTATTTACAAGATACACTGTTTTTGGAGAGCGGCCTAAGTGGGCAAAAGGCCACTTTCCATACTGATATTGACATTCTCCTGCTCAGGTGATCAAGTGACACCTGTACAATACTGACAGCTGGATGACCAAGCATACTTACAGCATGGCTATGCCCCAGTGTTTGCCTGCTCTCTCCCCTGCAGCCTGGAACCCAGAGAGCCCAATGAGAGCTACCGTGGGTGTAATAGTCAGAGGGCCAATGTATCGCAAGAGTGCTCCGGGCAGGCCCAGGAATCCAATCACCACTTCTATCAAAGAAGACATGATAATAGCACCTTGGATCTGAACACAGAGAAAAGAGAGAAGCCTTCATTAGATTCCTCCCCTTCTTTCCAGTTTTTTGGTTTTTTTTTTACAGAGAAGGTTTTATATTTCTGCAGAGATTTTGGAATGGGTCATGAACTGCAAGTCAAAAAACCAAGTGACTAGGCAGAACTGGGCAATGGCATGTGTTATGCAAGAGAGTGCTTAAGCAGCAAGTTTTCCAGACTAAAGAACATCTGAAGTTCAGAGGTGCATGCTATGTTATCACCAGAAGATGATTCAACGGAAGGACTACTAACCTCATCCACTCCTTACTGCTTAAGCACAAAGCTTAGGTTGTAACACACAACGGGGTCATTAGACCAATCCGGCAGTTGTGTTAATAGCACATCACACGGTCATACAGGAAGACCTGGGTTCCAAGCTAACCTTTCAAGTTCTCAGATCGAACCGGCAGGGGCTGGTGATGCCGCGAAGGTGATGCTCTTAGCTCCTAGGGGCAGAGTGTATGATGCATTTGGTCACACGTGCTCTTTAGAAGCTGGCATAGAGCAGCGCAGTGGTCTCAGGAGACTGCCAGCCCCCCTTGGCTGCAGGCCTCTTGGCAGGATGGAGCTATGGTTTGAAGATGGGGAAGAGAGAGGGGATGTTTTAAATTGAGGAACAACTGGCAGCCCAAAACAATGGGATGGGTGAAAAGTTCCATGTCATAGGTGTGCACTGGATCTCTATTTTATTATTAATTGTTCTAGATTCATAAGGACCAAGAACACCTAAAATATTGGGAGTCAGGTGGGAAAGAGAAATAGAGCAGCAAGACCAATAAATAATCTGCAGAAAGCAAGGCAGTGCTTCTAACTCGGCGTGGCTTTCTGGAGCAAAAATACAGTTAAGGCAGTGTAGATTATTCTCCCTATAAGCCTTTGACTGCACTGCTACATAGAGTGAGACCCAGCAGCCTCATAACAGTTATTCTGTTATTGCACATATTACTGATGAGAAGCACTTGCATGCCACGAAACAGAGAGTAACCACTACTTAGCACGAAGAGCATATCCTCAGCAATCACGGATTGGATCTCATGCAGTTGGGAACTTTGCAATCACAAAGAAAAGGGCAGGCAAGTTTAAACTCCGTACACAAAGAGATTTTAGGAAATCAGAGAGAGTCAGCCATCTGGAGAAGTGCCCAACAGAGGACACGGTGCCAAATACATTATGCAAGTTACCTCTCGTATTCTGGGGTACCAGATATGTTCTGTGTGCAGCAGCTCCGATGTTCCATTTGTAGCCATTACAGCTTGGAAGGTTAAAAAAAGATACCTCTCGTTATGGCAAAATAAACAGCTTTAATAAACACAAAAAGTTAGCTTCTTCCCCTACTTGACCCCCTACTGCCGCTGATCATATATACACAGTACATTTTATATAAAGAAAAATCCATTCTGCTAGTCAATTGAACTGCTTCCCCACAGCCACCGAAGGTCAAATAAAAAAAAAAAACCTATGGAATTGAAATTATGCCTTTGTGAGATGGTGGTAATTGAAACTGTAGCACGTACTGATAAAATGTACTTTTTATAATAGTGTTAGGAACACATTTATTGTCCTGCTTATTCTCAGGTAGAGCAAAAGACCCCTATCTCTTCTCTAGTTTTTTAAAATAGTAACGGTTACATGCAGATAAATAGCTTGTTGCTGCTCCCACATTACAATCACGAATAGTAAATTCGAACTAACTGGTAGCAAGCCACATTGTGCCATGTATAATGCTTTATGAATTGTCTTATGCCAGATTGTGAATTGCCCTTATTTTTTTGTGAACTGTAGAATATCACTTCCTGGTCTTGTTTGATCTTTTTAATCCCCTCTCTCCTGAGTTTTGACTGAAAGATTAGTTGACCAAATTCTAATGAACGCAGGGAAATATATTTTGCGAGGGGCGGCAGAGGGGACAAAGGAGACGCAAATTCAAAATGATGACCCCCCCCCTCCCAAGGAAGGTATTTCCTGCTTACCCAGCTTCTCATAGAAACACTCCAATAAATGAGTTTGAGAAATCTATTCAGCCAGAGGAGACCTCTGCATTCCATGAGGTTAAGGAGAAAGATGGAGGATGAATTGAGGGCCTTCGCTTAGCCAGCTCTAAGTGCCTGACTCCTTCCCTAACCTAATTTTCCTTCCACCAGTTGAGTTTGTCTCTTTGGCTACCTTCTTCTCAATGGCTAGGTTCCTTCTAATCCATCACTATAAGCTTTCTCATGGTAAGTAAAAATTGGTCCCAGAAGGCAGCATTTATAGCATTCATACATTGTGCTGCTACAACCGGTTGTTATTCCAGAATGGGCATTGTTATTCCAGTGAGCACAAAGAGGCACAGATTCACTTGGATGATCCGGAGGATGATTTCATAGCACAGATGTGATTCGGGTGTGTTATGTCACAAAAATGTCGTTTCTTAATTTGGCTGGCTAGACTGTAATAACAGCTCCTGTCTGACGCCTCCTGCTTAGAGGATGGCTTCTAAGACAGAACAAGAGATCCCTTTATAAACAAAATGTTCTCTACTTACCCAATTAACTTCTGAAGGCAAAGAGCAATGTCACCATCCTGATTTATTAAAATCTATAATCACATTATTTGACCTTGTACCATACCCTGAATTTCTACATGGTGCGGAGAAAATCTATGTCTGAATCCAGAAAGCTTTACTGATGCAATTATAAGAAATACACATTTTAGGCATTTGGGCTATTCATCATACTAAGCACTATTTATTAAAGAAGTTGCAACCAGTCAGATTTATTATTTAACTATCATGTACTAATAGTTGGGGTTGCAAATACACCAAATGCCAAAACTAAATGGACTACATTATGGCTTAACACAATATGTGAACGTGATCTGAATTTTTGACCTTAACTCTGAAAGTCTCTTTTTCTAGAAATTTGGAAACTCATGCATGTTCACAGCTACTCATTTGGAAAAGAGCCTGGAACACTGCCAAAATACTAGGGCCTATCTCAAGTAAAATATGATTATGCCTATACATGCTGTTGTGCCTATTGGCAGCCTAACAAGATAACTGTGGAAAATAGTAACACATTTCCCTCTTATTTAATATTTGAAACCTGGTATTTCAAAAGCTGATATTCTAGATGCAAAATAAGATTTCTCTGGGAAATGTCTAGTTTGGAGGGAAAAAATCAAATTCTTGTTCAGCTGCCTTTACTGACTGTGTTTTGTCTTTGGAAAATAAAAACCAGAATTTAATATAAGTTTAATGGCTAACACTTTTACTTAAAGGGATTATTTATTTATTCTGCTCATAATGGGAGAAAAAGGAGCCTGATGTTAGATATTACAGGAGAGCCATGTTAGTCCCAAAAAATAATAAATCAGGAATCAGGTAGCATCTTTTCCAACTATAGTAAGCCTAACTTATACATGACTACTGCAAATTGATGTGCCCAGCTGATATATTTGTCACCCAAAAGGCAGAGAAGGGATACTGCATTTAATCCTAATAAGGATGAAATGGTGGAGAGAGTGGAAGTTGTAGAAATTTTGAAGGAGTGTGATTATGTCATACTAGAATCTGCCACGGGGAACTGAACGAAGTCCGACTAGTGCAGGGGTAGGCAACCTTGGCTCTTTTATGACTCGTGGACTTCAACTTCCAGAATTCCTGAATAACCAGCTGGCTCAGGAATTCTGAGAGTTGAAGTCCACGAGTCATAAAAGAGCCAAGGTTGCCTACCCCTGCGCTAGTGTTTTAGATTTTAAGAGAGCCAAATTCAACAAATTAAGAGAGAGATTAGAAAGGATTCTACAGGTGGAAATCCTAGAGGGGAAAACAGTTCAGGATGCTTAGAAAATTCTGAAAAACGAAATACTAAAGGCCCAATCAAACCCAATACTACAGAGGGAAAAAACAAAAGACACCACATGAGACCAGCATGTCAGAGATCTAGAAAAAAACTCGGGCTAGAAGACCCCCAAGGTGCCTTCCGGCTCTATGATGATATGATGCAAATTGACAACAATCACAGAGTTTTCAGAATCCAATTACTTGGAGAATAAAAGGCAAACATTAACGGCATCACCACTGCACATTTTTTTCACACAATCTTTCTTTGATATTTTCGGGAACCAGAAAATTGATCTGATTCCAAATTACTGTACTTCAAAGCAAAGCACCTACGGCATGATGCTTTGAGTCATCGGGATTGATCCATCTGACATCTAATTAACAGATTACATTTTCTTCATGCAAGCCAATTACTTGTGGAATACCTCATTGCTATTTTATAATAAGTGCTCGTCATCCTCTAAAGGGCTTTTACTTCTATATTCTGCACTTAGGTTGGGGAAACAGTCCAACTAAACTGCTCTTATATCATCAAAATCATCTGCCAAATTCCAATTACCTAAATGTGTGCAAGACTTATCTGGCAATAATGAATAGAAAACTAAATTTGAAAGTTTGAAAGCAAAATATATGGTCTAACTTTCAATTCTGGGAACTAGTTCTATTTTATGACTACATTTGCATATAATGAAGCCCCTGTTTAATGCAGCATTTTCCATGCTGGATTGTGGGCACTAATCCAGCATAGACAGGGGAATATTGATTCAGCTGAACTGCAGGGTGTTCACTCAGCACCTTTCATTCAGGCAGGTCTGTCAACAGTTAGACTGAAACTTGCCCAGGATATTTAAACTAGGCAAGCTAGTTCTAATTATGATTAAAAGCAAACCATCTTAAATAATTGTTTATAAAACTTTCTTCACTAATTATTGTTCATTATACTTGATGCAATTTATTTACAGCTCACCCAGTGGGTGAATAATGCAAAATGAAGGTTTTTCCCCCTTTTCTTCTCCTAGTTTATAAAGGCTGAAGTGTATATATCCTATTTTATAGAATGCAATTTAGATCTCCTGTATTCTCCATTTCTGAATCCTTGACACTCAATGTCAACATTCAGCTAAATTCAGGAAGCTCTGAGGGCTCCAATATATATATATATGTATTCCCAAACCCCTGGGAACATTCTGTTCCTGCTGTTCCTCCTTGGCTGTTTATTGCCTCTGAACTTGAAGGTGTTGCAAAACCATCCAGCAGCCTCAATAAGTAAATTGGCCAATGAGGTTCTCCCCACCCACCAACTTTCAGAAACTCCTCCCAAGAACAATTTCAATGAAATTCTTGTGGAAGAATGGGTGCTGCTTGTCCCTTGAGAAACCAGGAGAAATGCCCTGAAATTTGCATCAAAAAGCCATTTTTGTTCTGTCTTTCCTTCAGGGATCTTCTGGACCAGCTATAGAATTGGTAAACAATTGGTAAATTGGTAAACAATTCTGGTCTTGTAAAGGCAAGACCCCCTCAAGACTGTTATAAATCAGAGTCAGCCTAAAAAAAGTTTTCCTCCGTTTCAGCTCTTGCCCTGAATGACCAAAGGCACGGAGGGAAAGGATGGTTGCTCACCTGTGTTGTTACACTTCCATTTGTCCAGAGAGAGGATGGCTTTAGCGGGAGCCAAGAACGCAAAAGCACTGGCCTGAAACAAGGGTAACCTGAAAGAGGCAAAAAATCACATTTAAAACACTGCCACAGCATGCAAGAAGAGTCACCTGTTCAATGTTAGTTTTATTAGTTATTTAAATTTATCTTTCCAAATCTAACTCATCTAAATTTATTATAGTGCCCATAAATATGAATACCAAGCAATATAAAAAATGAAAAATTAAAGAGTTACTCTACGGTTGACCAAATCACAAAAACCAACAAAGAGAACAAGGAAAAGAGTTGACGTCAGGCTCTGTGTGGACTACTTTGATGGTTTTTGAAAAATCATAAAGGCCTTTAGGACAACAATCTCATCAATGAAACAGAGACCTCCCTCTTTATCTAAATCAGGGGACCCCAAAGTGGGCAACGTTAAGACTTGTTGACTTCAACTCCCAGAATTCCCCAGCTAGCATTAGGAGTTGAACAGTTCTGGGAGTTGTAGCCCACAAGTCTTAAGGCTGCCAAGTCTGGAGACCCCTGATTTAAATGATAACAGTGAATGGGACAGACAGTAATAGTAATTTACTATAAATCACTCCAAGGGCATAAGCTAGTTCTTAGTTTTAATCTAGGGAATCCTAAACACCTTAGTCCTGGACAGTTTTGGGATTACCTTTCTTCCTGCATTCTTCCAGAGGGTAAGGCTGTCTGGCTAACTCTGGTAAGGCAAAGAGCATAAACAGAAAGTAATGCTGGCCATAAATTTCCCCTAACTTCTCTGGCTTTTCTTATATTCACAGTCTTAAAATGACAAGACTCCATCTTACATGGATCCCTCCTTCCACAAGAATCCACAGAAACTGCCCCAACAGTGCACAACATAGAATCCTTTACTCCACTCTTTGCCTTTCTTCATGACTCAATCTGTTCTAGTACGGCAGATTAGAATCAAGGTTTATTGGCCAATAAAACATGCAATCAGCAGAAATCAAAGAGTACAGTTTCTTTCCTGTGTCCTTTCATTCCTTTTGGGGGGGAAATTGGCAGCTCCTATAAGGTCACAGATCAAGATCTGTGGCACTGGAATGCCAAGGATACATCGCCATGTCGGGCAGCTTAATTTTGTCTAGCATCAATACTACAGCCAAATTTTGTCTGGCTACAGTTTTGTAGCCTGAATGTATTTTTTTCACTTTACCATTTGTTTATTTGATTATTTTGGATACAGCTGATCTTCCTTCATAATTACAACTGTTTTTGGGAGGGACAAAATCTTCTCACTTAACAAACAAGATGGGTGAGAGACATACATTTTTGACTTTCATATTAAAATGCTTTGCAAAGGCTCATAATAGTAAAAAGGTTTTAAAAGAAGGAGTGCATCCGGAATGATCAAATAACTAAATATCCATTGCGTAATCACAGGATCCTTACAAGCACATCTACGAAGAAAGAAAGACGAGTGTAAAGCTCTACTTTTTGCAAGCAAGCTCTCCTTCTCGCAGGATCACTCCCTAAACGATTGATTTCAGCCTGTTTCAAGCTTCACAACTTTAGGATGTGTGGATTCAACCCCCAAAATTCTTCAGACAGCATGCTGTCAATATTTGCAAAATATTTGTAAAATCAGACTGTTCTTTCTTAAAGGATAATTTCCAAAATTATTCCAGAATGATAGGCTTGATCCTTTATCAAACCAAACAGAATTTGCTTAACAAAACAATTCAAAAAGAAACCATCTAATTTCTACAACAGGTGTCCTCTTGTGTACATTTCTGGTAATAAGGAGTAGAGAGGTAGATGTTCACCAGAACCTGCTTGGCTCTTTTTAGGAACAGCATGACGAACTAGGGAGAGCTTTGGTGACCCTTGGCACACCTTTCTTCTCTTCGTATGAGGAGACTGCTAGTTATCAGTAACAATACTTAACTGATAATGATTTAAAAAGCAAAAAGGATGCTCTCTTTTCTGGCTTCTATTTTCATGAAGACTTTATATATAGCACCTAGACCTATATACCGCTTCAGAGTCAGCATGTTCCTCCCCCAACAATCTGGGTCCTCATTGGGTCAATTCGTAACAATCTTTATTGGCTTTCTGGTTTTTATACCATCACCTTGGTTGAGAAAAAGGACCAACTCAGAAACCTTATGGGCAAGCAAAAGTACGCACTTTGCTTCTTTCACAAGATCCTGTTTTTCAGACTGCCTGTTCTAATCCAGGAAACTTAGAAAGATATTGAGCAAATCCTGGAGGTTTTCTTTGGGCTGGTATCCTTCAATAACCTTCACTAGTTTATTTAAACCGGCCTGCCTTTTTTATCCTACTGAGTTACCATTCCCCACCCGATATTCTCTTTCGTAGGTAAATATACTCAATATTTTTTGAAAGAAAGGCTTCAAAATAAAATCATACTTGGAGGGGCTAGACCTAAAGTAAAATATGGCTGTGTTCATCCTTTTGTTATTTTTCCATGTTATTTTTTAATATCCTGCCTAGAATAAACATAATATAGATGTAGGTACTTAACATACTTTGGCCCTTGTACAAAGGTGAAAAGTGTACATCATTTTTTCCCCTACAATAACAGAATATTATAACTGAATGGAAAATTCTATGGTTTTAATACTAGAGAAAATCTAAAACTTATTTTGCTTTGATCATTAATTTCCTAATATCAAGTATATAATATACAGGTAGTCCTTGACTTACAACCATAACTGAGCCAGTAACTTTGCTTGTAAGCCATGATGGTCTTTAAATGGATCATCATAAGACTGCACCCAATTTTCCAATCTTTTTTTGAAGCTGTTGTTCGGTACACCCACTGTTCACTATGAGGTGGTTTTTGCCAGAAGTAAGCGCCTGTACAGTAATGTATTGATCCTATTATCTGTGCTGAAAGAATGCTTGGTCTGATCATTACATGGAAATGAAAGGTACCTGGAGCATAAAAGTGTCTTCATTCCTTCTAATCTCTGCTGGAAGAATTTCAGACTCCAGGACTAAGAAAAGTTTTCTGGCTGAGAATTTGGGGAGCAGCTGCTAATTAATTTAGGCACTAATTCAACTCACTTGGTATAATTTAAGTAATGTTTTTCATTTTATTATCAGACTCAAATATGACTGTTTTTAATTTTGCACATTATCTGCCTGTTTCCTGAACTGTTTAATTATTACTGAATTATTATGTTTTGAACGAATGCTAGTTGGCAAGTTGAAATTTTGAAATATAAATTAGACAATTTTTCTTTTAAATTTGTTTACATAAGCTAAATACTTCCATCCCCATTCTGAAGGAGCTTTCTGAACATTCATTCCTCGCAGCTAGTCACAATCTGCCAGACAACATAGGCTTCAACTCCTATCATCTTTGCCAGCATGTTATTATCTATTTTTTATTTTTATATCCATCCTTTCTGTAGCAATTAAAGGAAGTTTACACAGACCTCTCCCTTATTTCAAACCTCACAACCACCCTAGGAATGGAGCCTAATCCAAAGCCACCCTTTGAGTCTCACAGTTGAAAGATGACCTGAAGCTGGTTCTCCCCAGGCAAAGTATTATGCCTTTAATCAAGACATAATGCTGTTCATCAGCATTACTGCCCAGAGTTCATGGGAAATGTTATATGCAGTTAACACATCACCAAAGAGTAACTCACCTGCACCCAAACGTTGTTTGCAACAAAGTTGTGATTCCAACACAGAAAAATATGGTCCCAATCAACTGGCTGGTGGCCCACTGATCAAATTCAACACACATGGCTTCTGCTAGCAAGAAGGGCACTGCTATAGTGCCACTGAAACAGGTCAGGTAGTGCTGCAAAGAACAAAGGGTTATTTTTTAATTGTGTGTGTGTGTGTGTGTGTGTGTGTGTGTGTACCTGTGTAAATTGCTTTCCTTATGTTTGCAATACCATTACGATTAAACCAAGACAATTAATAATTCTGTATGGATAGTTTTATCCATTAGAAAATAACCATTATCTTAATAAAGAAACACACTTTGATGATCTCAGTTAAGGATTAGAAAATGGCAGTCCAAAATAAAAAATAGTGATATGCCATCAGGTTTCCTAATATTAACTAAATTCCATTGGGGAGAGTCCAGCAGATGTTAGGGAGGAGACCACAACTCAGTTACGTATTCAGACTTTGTGCTGAAAAATCAAAATCTCATACTTATTAAAATGATCTCAGACAGCGGAGTTTGAACAAACTCTTTGGTAGTCAAAAGTAGTCAATTTAGATTAGGTGGATCAAAAGTGTTAACCTTTGTATGAAGCAGTTTCCAATCTGCATATTGATACTGCACGAAACGTGAAAAGCCCCAATTTTATTCTCTTGAATTCTTCTCACCAGAAGAACTTATTCTCACGTTCAGCAATTTTCTTAGTGTGGCAAACCAAAATCTTTAATCAAAGGCAACCTCTAGTTTGTACTGGTAAGTGCTGAACAACCATCTCTGCTGGCTCCATTGCCACTGTCAAGCCAGGCCGCTAACCGCTGGGACAGCTGATCAGTGCACTAAGCATCTTGGCTCACTCTGCACTCAATCGGCTTACAAAATTACAGAAAATTTAACATCCACCAATGCAGGCTGGTATAAGCCAGCTCCAGCATGTCCCTGCATAACCTCTCACTAACTTCCAGAGTATAAGATCAATAGGAAGCTGAGCTCTGCAAGCCCACTAAAATGGAAAAATTTGTTAGAGGATTATTTATTTAACATGCTCACATATGACCCCTTCATTCTATTCAAGAACTGGGCAGGAGAATATTCTCATGGAATGTATCCATGCTTAAAGCCTCCCTTCCATCCTGCTGCTCTTCAGGGCATCCAGACACATTCCCCCCCTGCTAGAAGACAAGCATTCTGGCTGCAAAACTGTGAAGACTGCACAATTGGGTACCCTGGTGGAGTTCCCAAGTACAAAAAATGTAGGGGGTACGGTTTACATTCCTAAATAATTTCAGAATTCAGGCCGTCTGGAAAAGTTTTTTGAAATAACCTGGTGTGCCTTCATATAGTGATGCAGAAATTATTTGTTCAAGAAGAAAATACTAAAGAAGGAAACCAGGAATAAATTATCTGTAGTTTCTTGCTGCCTGAATTACTCTGCCAGATACGAGTCCTGTGAAAGTGTCATTCCCATGAGGCCCCTGCTAAGTAATTCTAAAAACAATACTTTAAAATTAAATTCTGACTTAACTGCTCACTAGCATTTCAATGAAAAATATATTGGAACAAATTGTACCTGTAACCCCAAGAATATGCAGAGATACCAGGGCGGAACATCCTCAATTGTGTAGATCATGTCTGTTCTTTGTGCGTCTGAGCTTCCACTGCTGTCAAGGGTTTCTGCCAGAGAACTCTGTCAACCATTAAATTAGCCACCATTTAATACAACAGTCTATTAATATGTTACTGGGATACGCCTGAGAAGTCCTGTGGCCTGCTGCATAGCACTATCAGTTCACACAGCAAAAAAAAAACCCTTTTATTTTTCTAGTAATCAGCCAAACTACATGGGCACCGTCTCTTTAACGTAACCAACCTCTGCCTTTACATATAAGCAAAGCATTATTCTGTTCCTATGATATAATCACCACATATCTTGTGCCAAAAAAAGATTGTGGTGCCCAACTGTTTACACAAAGAAATGTAGATGGCAGATTAGAGGTTAAGGGATATTTTCTGGAAAAAAGAAAGATTACACTTGCATAAGAGATCCAGACTCCATGATTTATGACAGTACTCTACTGTTTTCTAATGAGCTTTCATTTATTTCAATATATACATAGCTTTGCTAGAAACATAACCCTAGGCGTGGAAGAGACCATTTAGTACTAATTCAACTTTGATCTTCATATAGACAGATAATGTGGAATATTACTAAAGTATGCTACCATACAGCCATATTCTCTTCTCAGGACCAGACACAACCACTTTCCTTAAGCTCTCTGCATAGGACTGGAGTCTCCAATCCCCTGGACATTCTCTGAACCTCCTCCAATCTGTCTGAATCCTTCTTAAGGGCCTCCAAACTGGACACAAATATTTCCCATAATTTACAACCTATAATTCTGTTGATGTAAGAAAAATGCTATGTGCCTCATGTCAATCACATCATGGCTAGAACAGGTTCAGAGTTTAGGGAAGACAATGAGGTGTAAAGTTTGATAAACACTTATATGGCAAATCTGAGTTTTAGAGTTCTTTTTGAGGTTCTTAGTGGAAAAGTGTTTTTAGGCCTCATAAATATGCAAAAGAATTATGACAAAAAACTACACAGCAATCAAATATAATAAAACCAAGGATGAAGATTAAATTTGTGCGAGATCTGCTTTACACGTACAGTTAATCCTCACTCAGCAACCGCAGTTGGAAGCTGTAACTCAGTTGCTACACAGTGAGTTAGTTAAGTGCAACTTCACATGACCACACCGACTTAAGACATCAGTTCCAGCTGCAGTTGTTAAATGAAGCAGTTGTTAAGTGGAAAGTTACAGGCTGGCATGGCCAATACTGACCGAAACGATCTGACTTGGTGGAGTACCCTTTCCTTCACTTCTATAAAGGAAGACCCAAGGTATTGTTTTTCTGCAATTAGTTCCTAGGATTTTTCAAGTTCAAGGTTTACTAAGGCTTTAGATTGAAAGTAATAGTTTCCAAAAACTACATGAGGTCAAATTAAATATATGAGGAACAATGTTGAAGATAAATAAGCAGTGAATATGAAAGGTCAGCAAGGAAGACACACAATTCTTTGTCCAAAAGTGGAGAGTGGTTCACTCTTTAATAATGAAGTTATTAATTTCTAATGCAAGCAATTGATTACTTATCTAATGCAGTACACTTCTGAAGAGGAAAAGAAGATGGATAGAGAAAAAAGAGCAAAGAAAATAATATGAAGCTCACAAAATGAAAAAGCGTAAGCTTTGTGTGTTGCATGTTGAGATTTAAAGCCAAAATAAATATTCACTGCAAATCTCAAAAGGCCATTGCTTTGCATAGGCTATGGTGCCATTTTCATATAAATGGTTTAAAATTTTGTTATTTAAGGGCTGTGAAAACAGGAACACCCCTTAACACCTTTTATTGGCAGTAGCCCTTGGGGGGGGGAAGATTTGTTTAATTTAGCAGTTTCAGATTTTGCTGAAACTTTGGTTTATATAACAAAAGTGCTGACTTAATCCATACTTGATTGCAGAGTATCTTGTTTCAAACATGACTTCTTAAGCTCTAAACCATCGGTCCATATGATTTAAGCACATGCAGCTTCCTCCTCATATTTCCTCATATGTATATGCAGTGTTCATTATCAAATGGATTAACAGAAAATCAAACAAAGGAGTAATTTTTATTTCACAAGAGAGCATGTTCTGAAGCTATCACAGTAGCTGAAGTCATTTCAGGCACCAGAACCCAACCCCTTCCACAGTAGTGGCATGGTATCAGTGGGTCCCACTAGGAAACAGCTGATGCCAATGGATTCCTACAGGAAACAGCTAAACTCAAACTTCAGATCTCTAACCTCCTCTGAAGACCATGTTTTCAAAAGAGTTAGGAGAATGTGTACAACAGAGCTTACAGAAAACCTACACTGCAAGGTGCAACTTTACCTGGGAGGAACTTGAGCCCAGGAAATAGCTGTATGTTTGGGTTTGACTCAATATGATACCAGGACACAGACACTGCACTTTGAAAATCACGATTTAGGGCTTAATGATTGCATGAACATAGGCAATTGCATTCAAACCACAGTAAAGGAGATTCAGGTTAGATATTTGGAGACATTTAAGGACTGTCAAACAGTGGAATAGGCTGCCTCATGAAATGGTATGTTCCTTTTCATCGAAAAAGTCATCTGCTAAAATGCTTTAGAAGTTCCTCCACCAAGCGGAGAGATGGATTAGATGACCTTTCTACTTGTTTTTATTCCTCCGCACTTTTGCTTTTTTCTTTCTTTCTTTGCTTCTTTTGCACTTAGTTTTTGTTCTTTGTAAAACAAATTATTTTTTAAAAAAATAAATAAATGGTGGCCAACCTATTCTGCCATATGGCAATGCATGAATTCAGTCACTACCTTGAGAAGTTCTGTTTAGCACCCTCCCTGCTCTCAAAGCTAAGATGATCAGGACTATGGTTGAAGACCGTGGGATCATGTGTGGAAAGTGGTAACTCTTCTACAAGATATTCTACCTGACTGAGGATCAAAAACACAAAGCAGAATTTGAAAAATGAATGGAGGTAAAGAACTAAACATACTTTGCCCTAATTCAAAAATAAATCCAAAAATCTCATTATTTTAAATGTAACCCCCCCCCCTCCACTTGACCGTCTAATTTCAGCATTTGGATGTTTCCTAGAATATACAACTTGAAAATTTTCAATTATAACTTTGCACATTAAAGTTGTGCAATCCACTTGAAACTGAATTCTGTTGACATAACACAAATGCCAATCTCATAGGAAGCAATCTGATCTTGAAAGTCAAATAATGATGACTCGTGACATGTTACATGGCATCTTAGTCAGGATAATGGGTTAAATAAGTCAAATTATACAAGTCAGGTGAACCCTTTGTAATTGTGAAAAGGATTTAAAATCCTAATCATATTTATCCTTTAAAAAATAAGGTATTGGGGGAGGGAGGAGCGCAGGGGAGATTTTGGAAATATAATGCCCTTCCCAGAAGACTTCCATGAAATTTAATTTTTTAAGTTCTGTTTGCTTCCCACACTTTCCTGAAATATTCCAAACTTTGCAACATTCTAAATGTGGCAATATTGGATTTACCTTTTCAGAAGATTTAGGCTAGACCTCACCAGCTGCTTAAATCGGTGTTTCTCAATCTTGGCAGCTTTTAGTTGTGTGGACGCCAACTCCCAGAATTCCCCAGTCAGCCTTGCTGGGAGTTGATGTCCACACATCTTTAAGCTGCCAAGAGTGAGACCCCCTGGCTTTAAAGGTATTACAAGAGTCATGGCCTTGAAGCTTTTGCAGAAGACAAGAATCTCTGTCATAAATACCAGAACTGAAGGGAGTGGACTGACAAAACCTTTGAAGGTTTTATAACCCCATCAGGTGGAGATTACAGAACGTGAAGAATCCAACCAAGGGCACTGCTGGCATCCAATTTGCTACAGCAGAAACCACAACAATCTTGTGATTCATGACTACTGGGGCCCAAGGGCAGAAGCAGTCTTTGACTGCATTAGCTTCATCTGCTTGATAAAGTCTTCATATGATAAGATGACACTATTACTGGATATTTTCCCAGCAAACCAAGATATAACAAACAAACATTTTATGATAAACAAGGTTGAATGAGTCAGCTTTGTTTTTCATTATTATCAGCCAAAAGGCTCTGATTCACTTCCTTCTGTAGTTTATCAGAGCCTGCAGTCTTATAGATTTTTTTTTTCTTGCTCTGGTTGAGAAAAGATTGGGAGTGCTTTCATCTATTTTCATTTATCTCCAAGCCTAATTTTACTAAGCCATATAGCCTTAGAATAGTAATTTTGGCCCTCCTTTAATGATTCCATTCAACAGAAATCAGTTTGAACTGGTGAAGAACTCCATAGGGCTTTGTTCAGAGCCAAATTGAGCAAATGTACAAATGAATTATGACAGTTCATTTTTATCAAGATGTTAAGTTTAATCTACTTTTTAAGATACCTTTTCTGCAATTCCATTTTCTGTCGTATAGATTGCCATGAGTTCTGTGTCTTCTGTATCTTGATCGCCACTTGAAGTTGCTCCTCCACTTATTACAACCTAAGAAAAAATAATTATAATTATTAATTAATAGTAATACTCTAAAATAATTATAGAGGATATAAACTAAAACAGAGAACAACATAAAGTAAAGAAGATTTTTGACTTAGCTGACTAATTGGGGGTAAGAAGTATCAGTCAAAAATAAAAATCTGAAAATGCAAAGTTTCCAAAATTAGAGAGTAACTATCCAAACTTCTCTGTTATTTGGAGTGAAGAATTAAATCAGATTTTGTCTGTTGCAATCAAAGTTAACTGAATACGGATTAATAAAATCAAGATGATTGTTATTTTAAAAAATATTTTTAGAGAAACAATTGCTATATAGAAGTATGTAACTACAATTATAATGTAGATTCTAAATTTGACAAATGAATAATTCCAATATAATGTGTAGTTTTAAAATTATAAAGTACTAAATATGCAGATATGTATCTATACTAAACATAGATTCTTTTTATCATGAGCCTTTCACCCAAAGCACAGTTTTATTGGGTTACCTTACTTTTTATGTTATGCAAGTGTTTTATTTTTAATTCTTAAACACGATGCATAAATTTACACCTTTACATCCTTGCCATTTTTAGCTGCTCCATTCCCTAAAGCAGTGGCTCCCAACCTTTTCAATATCCCGCACCCCTAGTGTGCTTCTGATATATTCTCGCACCCCTTACAAAGGTTCAAAATAACAAATTATGCATATACACTATAATTTTGAAACTTCTAAACCCAAATTTTCGCACCCCCTGGAATATCATCTCGCACCCCTGGTTGGGAACCCCTGCCCTAAAGGATTTGAGTAATGCATTTCTGTATCATTTTCATCTCTAGGATAATCTGTGGTACGGCAACCAGTACTCAAATGACCTTCAATGAATTGCAGTCCTTCAAAGAAGCTTTGTGACATCCTTAGGAATAGCTGGAAGCAATCTTTTTAATCTCATCTAATGCATTCAGATAGATAAGACTGTGGTCACTTGAGCAATCCAATTAAGCCAACCTATTGCATCAGCTTTTTGAACAAAATAAGTCATTCATAAGCAGTTGTCAAATTAATTTTATAAGATTGGAATGGTTGTTTCTTTTAACTCCTCCTGCTCAAAAATACACTCAACTCTATCCTTCAATAGATCTGATTTACCCAGACAGCTTTTATAACACTGTCCTCCTTCAAAACTCAGCAATCAAAAGCTTTCAGAGGAAGCACCTGTCAGAAAGGGATTGTGACATCAGTGAAAAGCACATCACAAGACACTACTTATCTATGCTGATTTCAAAGTTCTGCCACGTAAAAATGTATTTCCATGACTCCCTTTTTGGAGAACTAGAGCTTAACCCAACATGACTTCTAAGGAAGACTACACAGATGAAATGCACCAGCCTCACAATACTACCAAAAGCAAATTAACATTTCTAAACATTAACTTACTGGCAATGTAAAAAAAGCAGTGTGCTTGGCTTCATCCTCATACTTGGCCTCTGCTGGATTTCCAGTTTCTACAGATTTTGAAGTAGTGTTTTTGCCAATCCCCATGGTTTTCCAAAATACTTAGAAAATTTAATTGGCGACTAAGTTATATGGGCAGACGTTGAGTTTTCAGTATGAAGGAAAGCAGCGGAGAAGAGCCGTATCGGAATACCTTAGCACTAGGTCCTGCACCCCATCTGTCTCTTTATGGTCCCTAGAAACGAAAAGATGAAATGCAGTGAAAAGACATTTGCAAGCATTTTACAATCTTCACCAAGAGCCGGGTTCCTATTATTTATTATTTACATGACAAATGTCAATTATTAAGATTTCCTTCCATAAGATAGTTAATGACAATTTCCTCCCAAATTATTTTGGCGATACCAATTGATTATATGCCATCAAGTTGTTTTCAATAGATAGATATCTATAAGATATCCATAAGATATCTATCATAGAACAGATATCAATAAAAATCTAAAAATTAGAAGACATCTGGTAGCATCTTTTCAGACGAAAAATCTTTCAGGAGCTTCGATGTGTTAACAGATTCCTCCTGAATTTTTAAATCGGAGGTCACCAAACATTTTGTCTAAAGGGACAAAAGAGCTCACCCTTCCACCTCTGCTTCTGCAACAGTGGCTGGCTGCTCCACAAGCCATGGCCATCACTGCCCAAAATGCCCTGTCCCCACTCCTCAGCTTGACCGAGGCTGGGCCTTGCGGTCGGTCTGTCATTTGCCCTCTCTCCTGCTTTCTCAGCTCACGGACTATAGTTAATGGTTGGGAGGCAGGATTTGGCTCATGGGGCCCACAGTTTGCCTAACCCTGAGATAGATTAACATAGCTCTTATCCTACAATGGATACAACAGAAATCTAAAGTCACTATTTACAGCTGATCCGATCCAGTGTTTCCAATCAAAATAGAAGCAGACTCCAAAATATGACTGCAATTAATCTGAGGGTTACAATTATGACAATTATACCAAAAACATCACATTGTTTCAACTTAAAATTAAGACAGATAAAAATATATCAATTACTTTTAAAAAGGATCTAATTTTTGCAATAAATAAATAAATAAATAACTACAAAAGCCCAGATTTCAGTTGTTAAAATATTCGCGACTATGGAGATTCTCAGTCATCTAGGTGTCATGGTTGTCTCAAAGGTGTTTTTTTCAAAAGACAGCTGGATTGTGTTTTTTTTCCTTGAGGAAGAAGACATTTTGCTTCTCATCCAAGAAGCTTCATCATGGCCAACTCGCCATGGCCAACTCATTGCGGGCCAAGTCACCGTGGGACAAGAGTTACACTAATATCAAAGAAACCGTGGAATGGAATCATTAAAGGATGCAAAAGGAGGGACAGAATGAAACATTTATTTATTTATTTATTAAATTTATATACCGCCCTATCTCCCTTGCAGGACTCAGGGCGGTGAACAGGCGATACTAAAAACCATGGTAATAAATAGTTTGTTTTAAAATCGAATTAAATAACGGGCCTGTTCTAAAAACACACCCGTATGTGTGTTTAAACATGATAAACGTGATAAACATGAATGACAACAACTAAAACAACTTTTTATTTATTTTAAATAATTAAATTGAATTATTAAATTGTCCCGTGACGAGTTGTCCTGTGGTGAGCTGGCCGTGGTGAGTTGCTGCAGTGGGTTGTCCCATTCCAAAGACAGAAAACTGGGAGAATAAAAGTGAAGGAAGGTTACAGTGTTGTAGGCTGGATCCCCATTAAAGCTAAACTTTAATGACAGCAAATATTAGTTCTGTCCAGCAGCCCATGTATGTAAGGCAAGCTCTCTTTCCCTTCAGTTTCTTTCACGACTTTCTTTTTGTTACAGAAAGATGCTAACACTGGTCTTTGTAGGCTAAAGGACTTTCTTACCCAGATGCATAGAAGAAGCTCACAAAAAGCCATCACAACTGGAAATTGTGCATTACTCAGAGTTCAAGTTAATGAATTCTTAGTTTTCAGATTAATATGCAGTATGGAGAAAGCAGGAATTGTTGGGAATGAGAGTTCTGAGGATCAAATCAGAAACCCATAAAGACTAGACTGAGCCCTACATATGCAATTTTACTGTTCTTAAGGGTACATAAATATCTCCTGTCACAAAACAGCAGTTCAATCAAGACTTGATTTCTCATCCTTTGGTTACAGAGACTTTGCCCTTTCTCCCAACTGAAGCAGCAAGTCATACCAAATCAGCCCCATGCTTCGTTTCCCTCTGTGGGGGGGGGGGGGGGGATAATGACTAATAAAAATCTATTGCTTGTTCTGAAATTCAATCAGAAGGACAGAGGAAGTGAAAGGAGCTAACAAAAGCAGGATAAGAAGTCAGAACAAACCACAAAGCCAAAAAGAGAAAAAAAAAAGTGTTCCATTCAAAAGACACAATAAGGGTGATTTATTATAAAAGGCAATCCAGAGAATAAATCTGTTTATTGCAGAAATTGGAAAATTAGTCTATGGCACTTTCAGATAAGTTTCTGACAGAAAAAGCAGTGAATAGCCCTGCACTTAGAAATAAATTCCTGGACACGCCTCACATGAATTCCTAAGCGAATGAAAAATGTACTTTCCCTTCCCTAGAAAGATTGAGTAAAGGCATATTTAAAAGCAAGAAACAGGCAGATGCTCCTTCTATAATACAGTGCAGACTTGCATAATTTTTGTTTTGCAAAGTCAAAGCAGCCCGTTACGGGAGTGCAAAGAGAAAAAAAAAGGGATTCAAGTTTCTGCTTAGTCACAATGACAAAGTTCACACACTATTTTAAAGACTTTCTCTAGAGAAACAACTGAATAAATCCAATTGTTTAAGTTTACACAATACACCAGGCAGAAAGTAAACACATGGTGGCACAGAGAATGAGTGAGCCCCCCATATCTTGGGACTGTGCCAACTTTTGGAATCCTGGTGCCCCCACACCCACCCACACATACACAGAGACCTTTTTTCCAAAGCCACAAGTTGAGTTCACATGGCAAGGAGCATCTTTCTCAAACCTGGGTCCATAACTTGCTTCTAATTGACTGGCAGGATGCAGGGGGAATTCTGTTGTATGGCGGTGAATTCTCTGGGGGCAGGCTGCTAAATCTTTGCCTCTTTTTTATAATTTTGGGAGCTTAGGAGCCCAATGGTGTGAGTGGAAGAGAGACACCTCCTAAGAGGCAAACTCTTCTCAAAGCCTGAAAATTCATGGGAAAATGACAAATTGTTGGTCTGCTTACAGACTGCAAATTGTGAAGCCCTACTACAGTGAGGGACACCATTAAATTCTCACAATAGAATCACTCCGCTAAACTGAATTGTCACCCCTGTCAATTCTAATATAAGCTCATGTGGACGAGGCTCACTTTTATTTCTTGTTTCTAAAATAGCAGAAAGTTTGTGCAACCATAGAAACATCTAGCCATCCACAGATGCTTAGGATTTTTTTTTTTAACTGAATGGTTAGCAAAAAAAATAATCCGGAACATGATCCTCCCAATTTCTGCATGAGAAGAGATGAGAGGGAAAGGGGGACAAAAAAAGTTGGGATTAATGTAATAAAATTGAGGCAGTTGCCAGCAGAGCAAGCAAAGAGGTAAGAAAAACTGGCCTTAGTATCAAAAGAGCTTTAGATTAGCCAACAAACCAGATTCCGTTTGAAAGGTTTTCACAGAATGTCCAGATTAACAAAACAAAAACACTTTGAAGTATTCTGAACAAGCAAAGCAGATAATTGGGCAGGATAAAAAGACTGCCAGAATTTAATTCTACACAACCAAAGAGTCTTTTATTTTCTCCCAAAATTGTTACTTGAAAAAAAATGAAACTTGGAATATTGGTCAAATCAAATTGTCCTTTCAATCCCAGTTTCTTCATTTTGAGAAGACCATGCAGAGAGATTGCAACAAAAATTCCTATCAAGTTAAATATCCGTGCTTCAGATTTTCATAGGACTGGGTTATCTTGAATTTGACCCAAAAAAGGACAATACTGGCTTGTCAAGCCCAAAGAAGCAAGGAAGATAACTTAAAGCAGATCAGAGAACATGAAACTGTTGGGAAATGGCCAGTCAGACAGTGAGGAGGGATCAAGCATGGAAGTCATTGCGCAGTCACAAGAGATGCAGGACTGATACACGCTCCCAGCTTCACAGAGGCTTATCTATATATTCCCAAGGGAAGGCAAGCAGTCTGGGTAGATTCCTGTACCATAGGCAGAATACAATAAAGTGCTCAGCTTTGCTCTTGTGGATCTGATCGTTTGCACCCGACAGAAACTCCGCTGGAACAGGAGGAACTGTGCAGAACATGTGTGTTCTATGTTCTGTGATTTGCCCCAATCTTCTCCAGAATGTTCCACTACCACATAGTCATACAAGGGAAAAGAAAACAAAGGGCAGGGCCTTCCATTAAAACTATTCTAATGTGATTTTCAATTTCAACAGTCTATTTCTGATTTGTAAAATCAGAAAAATGGGTTTCTTTTTTATTAGTGCCCCCTGATTCAGCTATGACAGTCTAATCCTCAGATAATATATTTAAGCCACTTTTAAGAATAATTCAATATTCACTGTGGATATTTATTGCCTTCTGGTTTTTTTATTCCTTTATTCCTTCAGTTTTTTATAAAGTATTCTATATCTATGTCATCTTTAAAGGGACATTCCTAGGTAGCTTGTCAGTGACTTTATTATGTGCTTGTTTATGATAAATATTTTTTATATTCTACCCTTAAGGCAGTTATAAAAAACATTAGCAAAATAAACTATTCAAATGCAATAAAACTGCCAAATAATCTACATGATTTGTTGTGACTTTACTAAACAAAAGGAAAACTTATAAAAGGAAAAGTTTAACCAACCTGAAGTTCAAAAGTCTTCTTAAATAGAAATACAGACTGAATATGACATCCAAAAGAATATTATGTGAATTTCCCAAACCAGGAATTTCCCAAGAGCATCTCCAAATCAACAGGCCCTCTTCCACTGTTCCAACTGATTGTGCATCCTGAACAGGAGTAGAACACTTTGGGATGATAGTCCAGATCACAGGACAGAAACTCACTCCCAGATGTGACAAATGGAGGAGACATAGATCAGATAAGGGCTCACTGATGGAAAAATATCTCTTATGTAAGCTATACGAAACCATTTCACTCCAATGCAAAGATATTGCAAATAGTCCCTTAAGTCAAG